GCATGTAAAAGCTGAACAATTAGTAAGGAAGACAAAAGAAGAATTGAGTTTAAATTGTGCTGTTGGCAAAGAATATGAATATACCATAGACTGCCAGAATAATGAATAACTCTATCATAGAAGATGTACAGTCAGAATGCTCCTTAGATGTGAGGGGGTGAGATTTCAACTTACATACTTTGGACATGTTATTAAGAGGGAACTGTCCCTGGAGAAAAACATCATGCTTGGTAAACTAGAGGGTCAGCAAAAAAAAAAAAAAAAAGGAATAACCTCAAAGAAAAAGTCACTATTTATTTACCTGGTCAAAGAATAAAGTGAAAATCTAAAATATCAGAATGTAGCTACATGCCCAATCAAATAAAAATTTGCTACATACCTTGATCAATACAGGATTCAGCAAGAGCAAAAAGCTGAGGTGAGCACCCCTCGAGCAACTGCTGATGAATATTCACACATCTCAAAGCCCACCACGGTAAACTCTAGAAAAAGAAAGTAGCTTGTCAGCTGAAATAAAAGAATATATTGGGGAAAATTGTTTTTATATTAATTAAAGTTAATTTTTGGAATTTTTTTAATCTACTCATGAAATTAAATTTATCCCTCAGTAAGCTTACCTATCCATAGGTAATCCATGTCTTCAGTAAAACCCAAATCCACTTCTGCATCTTCTGTAATAATAAAAGCTTCCCTCCATCTCTCAAATTCTGTATTTTTAGCAAACTGGGCTTCATAATGCCACTTCAAACTGACCATCTCATTTAAAAGATCTGTTATAATTATCCTGCTCTGCTGTGGAGTCCATCACTACCAAATTTCAAGTGCCAAGTACTCTAGGAAGTGTCCCACACAAACTTCCTAAGGGAAAATTTTCCATCGCCAGAACGTCCAGCACATTACTTGTACCTTTCTTTGCAAACACTGTATTTGTGCATATCATCTCTAGGCTTCAATATTATTCCCCATTTATCTAACAAGTGAGACATTATATCTGACTCATCTCTGTATCCTCCTCAAAGCAATGTATGTTGCACAAACTGCATTCTAAGAAACTATCTTGGATTTACACAGTCCACAAAGCTGGAAAGATCTCTCTACCTTCCTACCTTTCATGCAAAATATCTTCCACAAATCTTTCTGCTACTAATGTGACTTCTCTGAACATCTATACTATTCCTAAAAGTTAGCACCACAACTCTACCTGGATCATGTATTTTTGAGAGTGGAAACACATTTTATATATCATCTTGATTGATGCACAGGCTGAGAACATAGTAATTTTTATTCTAAGTTGCTTGTTCTCAGTTTACACAAAACAAAAAGACAATACGGAAACATTTATAGTAAGGGATAAGTGTTCTCTTTTCCACTACCCCAATGCCTTCCTCTTCAGCCAGAAAACTCCCTGACAAAGAGGTACATTCTTACAGAACTTCTTCCAGGACTCACATGAGTCCATGTAAGTGTATGTGAGTCATAACAGGTATTAAATGTTTTTGATAGGCTCCTTAGTTTCAAATATGTTCATACCCTGAGTCTTGAAGACGGCAGAATAGGCAGACAAGCTACCCAGACCTTCTACAACAAAGAAACAAGAAACTAATTAAAACAGATATATAGAAGATTATCCTAGAACCCTGAACTTTGAAGGGAAGGACAAAGAAGTGGGTTAAATACAAACCAACAGAAGAGCCTGAATGAAACCAGTAAATAAGGAGACAAATGAAGCTGCAGACTGTTGGCTGTCCTGACAGGACAACCAATCTGAATATTTACAACTGGTGCTCCAATCCAGGAGGCAACCTAAGAATCAGCTCTGCTTGCCAAGGACCGCATGGGCAACCCCACTGGCAGTTGACGGAAAACAGTGAATAAGGACACAAACAGAACTGCAGACTGTCAGATGTCCCGAGGGGATGACCATTTTGAATATTTGCAAGCAGTGTTCGCATCCAGGCAGCAACCTAAGAATAGGCTCTGCTTGCCAAGAATAGCACAGACAACTACACTGGAGGCTGAGAACTAGAAAGCAACTGTGCCCACACAACTCAAGTATACTCACACTTCCTGCAGTCCCATTTACTGGGTAAAAACCACAACTTGCTTCTCCACCAAGTTATCAATTATAAGCGGCAGACAATACTAGTCCAACTCACTCTGAACTGCTCATCATGAACAGTTAACAGAGATCTGTGCACACATTCTCATTCTCTATCACACCTCCCAGGAGACAGGTGGTGAATGCCTAAGTGCTGCCAACTATCAAAGAGAGGAACACAATAGCCCTGCTCACTCAGAAATATCAAAACAAAATATACAAAAAAAAAAAAGCTGTACAAATCATAATAATATACAGTCACCAATTAAATACAAATACAATGACATCACATTATCTTGGAGACAACTGACCATCACAATACAGACAAAGAAGCAAGATAAAGTAGTATAAACAAAGGACCAGGATACAGACCTAGAAAACCTCCCTGAGGAAGAACCAGCATTGGAATGGTCTCATAAAGAATTCAAGAGAATTATATTTAGGTACTTTCAATGGATTGAGATATAGATCAAGGAAAAGACTGACAAAATTAAGGAAAACACAAACAAAACTCTAGAACAATTCAGGAAAAGAATACAAGAATAAATTGACAAAATAAAAACAGTAAATAGAAATGCAGAAGATTATCACTAAAATTTCTGAAATAGTTAACACAATGAATGCGCAAAGGAGTAGAATTAATTTAATGGAAGATAAAATTAGTAAGATTGAAGACAAATCTCTCAATGATACTTTTTAAAGGGATCAATGAAAAAAATAATTAAAATAAAATGAAGAAAGCCTAAGATCACGTGGGATACCTTAAGAAGAATGTTGTTGCTGCTGTTGTTGTTATGTGCTATTGAGTCATCTCTGACTCATAATGACCCCCCCCTTGGGTTTCTGAGGCAATATCTCTACGGAAGTAGATTGCTCTATCTTCCTTCCGAGGGGTGGCTAGTGGGTTTGAACCACCAACCTTCTGGTTAGCAGTCAAGTGTCTTAGGCACTACGCCACCAGAGCTCCCTTAAGAAGAATAGCTATGTGTTGTCAGAATTTTAGAACAGGAAGAGACAAATAAAACCACAGAGAAAACTGTCAAAGATTTACTGGAGTAGAATTTTCCTGATATAATGTAAAATGAGAATATACCCATTCAAGAAGTTTAACAAACCCCAACAAGGAGACATCCCAAAAGAAAATCACCAAGAAATATCATAATCATACTCACCAAACTAAAGACAAAAAAAGAATCTGAAGACAGCATGAGAAAAATGAAGTTACCTACAAAGGGCAACCAGTAAGACTAAGCTCTGATTTCTCAGTAGAAACCATGCAGGCAAGGAGGCAAGAAGATGATATATATAAAATTCTGAAAGAAAAAATTGCCAGGTAAGAATTACATACCCAGCAAAACAGTCCCTCAAATATGATGGTGAAATTACCTTACAAGGGATCCTAAAAAGAGTCTTTCAGACAAAGAACTAGTAACAGCAGACAACAGACAATGATTAAGACACATGACAACATAACCTAGAAACCAACTCAGTTATAGAAGTATCCAAAGTAAAATAAACTTACAAAACTGTAAACCAGGACTAGAGATGTCAATTGGTAAATGAGGACAACTACAAACCAAAAAGAGGGAAAAAACAGTATAGGAAAAGAATTTTCAAAGAGTGAGGAACTCAAGACAACTGTAAGACAGAATAGACTATTCTAAACGTGGATAGAAAATAATAAGTCACAAGGTAACCTCAAAGAAAATTAATAAACCATTGCATCAAAATAAAAAGAGGAGAGGCACAAATACTCAGCAAATACTAAAACAACCGCAACGAAGGAAATTATAACAAAATTCATACACAAAATGAGGTCAGCACAGGAAATTCCATGGAAAAAAAGAAATCATCAAAACCAAAGACAAAGACAGAATCCTGAAAGCAGCATGGGAAAAATAAAAAGTTACCTACAAAGGACAGTCTGTAAGAATAAGCTCTGATTTCTCAGCAGAAACCGTGCAAGCGAGAATGCAATGGTATGGTACCCTGAAAGAGAAAAATTTTCAACCAAGAATTACATACCCAGGAAAACTGTCCCTCAAATATGATGGTGA